ACTTAGTATTTAAATTTTATTTTAAAATTATATATTTGGCTCGCGGACCGGCTCGTTTGGCTTACGAGCTAAGGTGATCTGGATTGGGTTGGTCTATTTTTTGCTCGTTAAAAAACGGGATGGACTGGACTAGACTAAAATTTTCTCGGATCGAAACGAGTCGGGCTAGATTGGGCCGGACCGGCCCCTTTTACACCCATGTTTTTGACTCGTCCAACAAACTTTTGTGAGGGGAAAATAATTTTTTTTCTCTTTCAATAAAATAATAAATCTTAAAAGTGGTGGACAGATAAAATTAAATACATGCTTCAGGCATAATTAACAGTAAAGTAAAATTTTATATGAATCTCTTGCTTTATATATTATGGAAAAAGGTATATTTGCAACTCTTTTCGATTATTTTGGCTTAATTTGGTGGAAAAAGGAATAAGGTTAAAACATGGGAAAAAAATCAATCAAAAACTAAATTTTGTACTCGATGAAGTTAGTGATGGAGCTTTCAGAATTTTGAAGGTAATTTTATTTTTTAACGAAAAATATATCTATTTTATGTCGAATATTAATTCACTGTATATTATATTATTTCTTTGTTTTAATTTAGGTCACTTTAAGGTTTAATTTTAAAAAAATGCATTTTCATATATATTTTTTTTTATTTTTTATATTCAATTTAAATTCGGTTTGATTTAAACTATAAATAATCAATTCGTTTAACATTTTTTGTCAGTCCGTTGGATTTTTTTTAATGTCCCCTCCAACCCGTTTTTTGGGTTCCACGTAATAAATGGGCTTGGTTTTTTTCTTTTTGTCAATATATAGGCTCCAAATTATTTAGGCCCATGAATTCCAATTTTTTTTTTTAGCAGCCTTAGTGGGGGTTATTTTTCATTTTCATATATAATTTAATTATGATATATATAGGGTGTCTATATAATTGGATCGAAATCGCGATAAACTTTCAAATTTAAAAAGAAAATATTTTTTTTAGGATGATACCCTTTTATCATCCAAATATTATTTTTATTTAATTATCATGAGCACAATTGAACAAGTATTCCCATTCTCTTTTCGGGAATTTACAGCGTTTTCCCCAGGCCCATGACAGCAGTAACCATTCACATCCATAATTCATAATATCAAAATAAAACACAAACACACATGACACATCATCACTTGTTAACAAAGCGACAATCTCGGCGGATCTCTCCTTGGTCGCCGGTGAGAGGGTTTGTCTCCGACAGGAGCCTCACACCCCGAGAGAACTGCGCGTAGAAATAGCCATTGTCCGCCGCCATCTTCGTCACGTACGGAGCTGTTCTGGGATCGGTAGCTAGTTCTTCGTCCACCGTTAACAGTCCCTTGTGTTCCAAAATGTTCTTGAAGTAGAAATTGTCTATGACCATCGGGGTTTCACGGTCGTTCCGGGAGTATAACACTGCGTTCGGGTCCGGGTTGGGCGTGGGACACCGGCCCTTTAGGTACTGGGCGTAATTCGGGTCGAGGGTCGGATCGACCGTTGGGTAGAGACGGTGGACTAGGTTCACGCAGTGCACTCGACCCACCGAATGAGCTCCTGAAAATGATTTTAAAAATTTTAAAGTGATTTTTTCTTATAATTATACGTAAGATAAATTATTAGAAAATCATAGATTTTTTTTATTTATATACATGGAGAAGATTTTTGTAATTCTGCATAAGATAAAGAGTTTACATTTATAAACGGTTTAGATATTATAATATATATATATATATATATATATATATATATTTGTCCTATTCAATATATATACGAGATATGTAAATTATATCACTTTATAATAAAAATATAAATAATAGATAAGAAAAATTATAAAAAGAATTAAGTACGATTGATATATATATATATATATATTTGTGTGAGTATTCATTTTTTTTAATTAAATGATACTATTATTTTAAATAAAATGTACCTAAGAGAGCGACGGTGGCTTCGAGGTCGATGCCCATGGAATCAAAAGTGGAGAGAACGGAAGAGAGAGAGTCGTTGTGGTTTGGGATTAGCCTCTCCACTTCTCCCAAGTAGCTCTCTCTGCTGTCTCTCCTCCCTGTCTTCATCTCTATCCTCGGCCCCTTCAGCTACAGTTTTAAAATCCAATAAAATCATTAATTATAATATTTGATTCAATTATTTCAAAATCAATATCAAACCCTTTTCAATATAATACTATATATATCTCGCGTGTGTGGTTGCCTTGCCTCTAAGAGAGTACAAATCTGTTTTAAATTCTATCATATATGTATATGCATATGTATGTATATGTACCATGACGATGCCTTCACGGGCGGAGAGGGCGACGATGTCGGCGCAAGAGACGGTGGAGGGACATTCCCTCTCGAGAGCGTCTTTGATGGTCTTGACGTACTTGAAATTCCTCATCCCGAAGCTCCTCACCGATTTCTGCTCCGATTCCACCGTCTCCAACAGCAGCGATGCATCGCATGACTATATATATATACACACGCGCGCATATGCATACACAACATCACATATATGACACATATATACGTAAAGTATATACTACAGTCGTCGGACCAAAGATTTAGATTATGGGACCTTGACGGCGCAGTCGTGGAAGAGATTGCGGAGCCACGAGACAGCAGTGTTGCCGTGCTTGTAATAGAGTGTCTCTACTTGCTGTCTTATTATCTCCTCTGCTTTCGGACAGCTCTCCCCGTAGTAGTTCATCTGTAGCTCCCCTCTTGCTGTACGTACATATATATATATATGTATATGTATATGCGAGAGTTCAGTATTATTAATTATTACTTTATAAAAAAATATTATTAATTATTAGGAAAAACCGGGCCTAATTTTATCTTGATTAACCTCTATATATGGTTAATTAATCTCTCTGTAGATGGACGATGTTTCTTTGCAAGTGTGGTCTATAGTTACAACTTACAAGATGTCATATGACGGTAATAACACTATTATAATAATAAAAAAATTGCGATCTTTGGATGGTATTCAGGTGACACGTGGAGTGACGTGATTGGGTGAAGGAGGAGTTACCGAGATTGAAGATGAAGAATAACTGTAATAACAGACAGAAGAAAGTGGAGATATTCATTGGCTTCTCGTTCGCCATCTCTCTCTCTCTCTCTATGTTTGTGTTTGTGTCTCTCTCTGTGTTCTAGTTAGGGCTTTATATAGAGAGATTTCGATGAACTTCCTCTCTCTCTCTCTCTCTCTATATATATATATACATGTGTGTGTATGTGTTATAATATTCCCATAATTATGTGAATATAAATTATATAATTAACCTTATTGGGAATTTGATTCTGTTCCACGCATAATGATTGTTCCACTGTTTGTCTTTCATATATAGAGTCAATGATTATCTAAACTTATTATTATTTTTTTAAATTTAATGTAATCAATTTAAACGGAGAGTACAATTAATAGGAGACTAATTAAATGCAATTTAATAGGAACCCCAACAATTAAAAAAATATAGAGACTGATTAGACTAATTATTCGTCACAACTATTCCTCTTTCAAATTGATATAAACTATCATGTTGTTGCCATAACAACGCACATTCACACACGCCCACACATGGTAATGTCTCCGATCGAGATCCGTACGTCTACTTACATACATACATACATACATACATGCATGCATACATACATACATACATACATACAGGTGGGTGTATACATGAATATAAATAATGTTATATAACAAGTATTAAAAAGTCAAATTGCGAATGATCATTGAAAGCCATTAAGTTTGACAATTTTGGCACTAAGCCGTCGCACGCGTGAGAACGACCACCGCAAATACCAAAACCCCCATTAATTTTTAATGGGTACTTTCATAAATTTCACTTTGCTAAAATATACCGTCCATTAACTTTTTATAATTAATTACTACATGCTTTTTATTTCTTCAAATAAAATTATTGTGAATATCTAAATGATATCTAAATTATTGTGGCTCAAAATTAAGTTCCTCTTCATCTTTTTCTAAAATGGCTCTTGTAACCATTAGGAATCTACGGCTTGTGGATTTGGCCATTCGTTGAATTTCTTGATTTTTTTTTTGTTTTTTTCTTAAAAACAACTTGATCTCGTTAAAGTTTTTCTTATATTTATATGATTTGTGTTTCCTGTAGAGTTTTATGATATTCGTTCACAAATTGAACCATTGTTATTTTAGCAAAATATATAAATTTCCTATTTTTTTGTTATTATAGTTTGATAATCGATTTAGTGAAAAGTAAATTCATTGTAACACTTTGTTCGATCTTTTTTTTTTCATATGAATTGAGGTCGACTAGTGCTTGAAATCTCCTCTATACCTTAGAATACCAGGAATTCATATAATTATCGTACGTAAATTATATGTCCGATCAAATTTGTTTCAATCTGCTTTTTCAAAAATATAAATTAATTAAAAAATCTATATATTTGGGATTTGACGGTGAATGCTTACATACTGAACCCACTTCGTGTTTAGTCCGTGACATTTACAGTTATTTGTGTATGCAGGGTCCCATCACATACGGGATATAAAAAAAATATAAACGAATTAAATGGAAATACATATGAACTTATTTAAATAGGATTTGATTATACAATTGATGCTTATACATTTTTTGAAATTAAATTAATTCTGTCCGAATATAATATTAAATAATTGAAAAATTCGCATGGAAATGGAAAATTCTTAGAATATAAATATATATATTTTTTGATAGACACTGAATTTAAATCAAAATCCAAAAAAAATCGGATACATGTAGTCCACGGGCTTATCCAAAATGTCCAATAAGAAGATGTGTGGGACATTTTTTTAAAATCAAAATAATATTCAGATTTTCAAACCATTATTTCGTTATTGATTAGGCATACGTCACGGTCAAATAATTACAAAATAATAAGATTCCCATAATATTACTTACTGATATCTCCAAGATGATTATCTAATAATTTATCAAATCAATCTATAATTTCTAAATCGTAAAATCAACTCAAAATTTTTCTTACTATATTATATATCGTAAAATTATACACCGTATCTCAAATTTATCAATTATATATTATGTGTCTCTATTTTATCAATTATTGAGATTTAATTGTAATCATATATCAGAAGAATTTAAATCTTTTTTATAGGATATTTTATTTATAATTTTTAAATCAATAAAATAATTTAAATATTTAATATTATTTAAAAGTATCATATATCTGCATTTGATCAATCATATACATCAATCAAAGACGTATAAAAAAAAATTGATGACTTCTAAACGTATTTTCGTTTTATAAAACTAGTCTATACTGTTGAAGTGTGGCCACGTACTCACGTGGTGGATGGTATTTTAAATCTTGCTTTTTCATATATAATCACGATTCTAATCGCTTAATTAAGTGACTAAACCCATTAACTACTGAGACAAAAGAACGAATAAGTCCATTAACTGCTCCATAATGTTAATCAACTTAGCTATACGATTATATATAAGTTTAATCCTAATACCAAAAAATAGAAAATATTGTAGTATTTAATAAAAAAAAGGGGTAAAGTTGTCATAATATAATAGTTTTGTACTTATTTTTTTATGCTTGAGTGTAAGACGCCATTGATTTGTTTTCTACGAGAACACTATTAGGTGGCAAAAGAGATGGTCTTATACAATTATTTTATTTATTATTCGCATATATTGAAAAAAAAATGAAATGGCAACGCGTACACGAATATACGATTACGCGAATAAAGGATAAGATCTTGCTTGCTCGAGGGTATATACATACACATTGTCATTATATACATATATAATATAATGAATGTATTTTTTACCAAAAAAAAAATTCATGTAATGATCTTTATTTTCGACGTATGATAAGAGTTTTGTTTTATATACCAATTCACAATAAAAGCACAACAATATATATATATTTATGTGGTTTGAGAGATTATTTCTTCAATTATCATAAAGGATTAAACGTTGTTTTTTTTTACATTAATGACTAACTAAATTATGAAAGATAATTAATTATGCTACTCGGAAGTAAACAAATCCAATAAGAAAATGACATTCAATTATGGACCCAAAGGATTGAGTGGAAATAGAACCGAATCGATAATATATATATTTTTTTTAAATTGGGACATTCGATAAGAAAATGACATTCAATTATTTTCCCTGTTCTTTTGAATCACATTTGATTTTTTTTTTTGTTAGTGTATAGTTTTGTTTGCAAAAAGTTTCAAACAAGGTGTGGTTTATTTATTTAATTGAAACTAATATCCAAAAAGATTTTTTATTGTTAACACTCACACAAGTGGATAATATAAGAGCGGGTTTCTTTAAAAATAAAATAAAATAAAACAAAACAACCAGCGTACAAATTTCATGGCGAAAAGGATCTGAACATAAGCCACAATGCCAAAACGAAGCAGTCAATCCCAGCATTCACATAGACAGAGAACGTAAGGAGCCCTCAGCCTGAAAACCCTAACCCAAAGTTCCCAGAAAGGACCGTTCCATCACTTCATGCATCCCAGACATGATCCGAGCATGCGGTCTGAACATGCATCATCATCATCCCACAAAACCCATATGCTTATAAGTGCCTGCCATGACAAAGTCAGATGAATGAAGTGTGAAATGGCAGAATGAAAGAAAGGGGTCGAGGTTAGGAGGAGTGCTACCGTCCAAGGATAGGCACTGACGTGGGTGCTTCAAAATTGGCGTCTTGGCGGCCTAGCCTCGGCCTCCGAGACTCGTATTTGTCTGCCGTCAAGATCCTAAAAGCGTACAGAAAACAAGTTAGGGGGATTTTGTTCGCATTGTATGTCATAAGCGATGGAAAAAGATCGAAAGAGAGGAACGATACTTACAGCACCGTTCAAGGATCTGATGGCGTTTTTCACTTCTTGATGAGAGCTGTATGTCACAAATCCAAAACCCTTGGATCTACCACTGTCCCTATCATATATGACCCTGGCCTCAACCACCTTTCCTTGCTCGCTGAATAAGCTCTCGAGTGCCATGTCATCTACTTCCCAGGCAAGGTTGCCCACGTAAACACGGTTTGACGAACCTGAACCTGAACCCGAACCTGAACCTGAACCTGAACCAGGGAAGCTGGTTCTGGGCCCTCTGGAAAAGGATTCTTCCCTCCTTGGTGGAGGACCCGCGTTCACTCGCAAGGGTCTGCCTTCAAATTCCTGTATTTTCATGTTGAAATGGACAAGTCAAAACAATCAGAACATACAAAAGCTGGAGAGAAGCTTGCAGGATCTAAGCAAGAAGGGAAGATAGTTGAAAAAATGTGTATAGAGGTTCAGAGGTTAATCTCAGATTCATATCCACAAGGAAAATCCATGGATCACACATAAGTTTTACGGGTTTCTCCTGGCAGAAGCATGAACTGTCAAGGAAATAGACATTATTGGAGTAGAGGAAAGTATGATTTCAGAAATTTCCACAAACCAAACAGATGATTATATAGTTTCAGAATCTTCATTTTCAAGACGTATACGAACACAATCATATATGCAAATTGAATAAAACAAGAGAACAGTAGATTGAGATTTACAGAAGCATAAACAACACATATACAAACACAAACAACAAGTACTCAGGAAATCATATCATCAATGGAAGAAAATGAGAAGGTTTATCTCAAGGAACAGGAGAAGTTTCTTACATAGCCATTGAACTGTCGAGCTGCTGCCTCAACTTCCTTAATGGAAGACATTGTCACGAACCCAAAACCTCTGCTTCTGCCAGTCGTCTTGTCGTAAATTACCTGCAAAAAAGAGAGTCACTTCGACACACGAGACAAGCACCATAACCAAACACAGTTCCCAACCAAGACTCAAACCATCATCGCAATCTTTACAGTTACAGATTCATAAAATTTCAGATTTGCTTACGACCCATTTCACCGAAACAGCTTATCCACAAGGTTATTGAACTGGGACCCTAAAGGACATGGATTTCATGCCCTAGAAAGCTAAATCAAGCATATTCAAGGAGAGAATTCAGCAATGTGTCCCAAAATCTGAAGCAAAACCATAAATTAGTACCTCAACCATCTGAACAGATCCCGAGCTCTCGAACAGCTCAGCGAGCATAGCACTGTCGACACTAAACGGAAGATTACCCACGAAGAGCTTCAGATCAGGAGAGAAGCCAGGCTCCTCCTCCTCGGCACCGTCTTCCTCCACCTCGAAGTCCGAGGAAACGGCGACTTTTCTCACGAACCGCGACGGGAAATAACCGGCGGAGAGGCATTTCGCGGCGGAGGAAGCGAAGAGAGAGGCCTTGACGGGTCCGGATTGAAGTTTAAACGAGACGGAAAGAGGTAAGAAAGAGAACGAAGCGGGTTTGGAGACGCAGAGAGGAAGGGATTTAGGGTTGAAGGAGGAGAGTGCAAGAGAAGAAGCGGAGGCAGCCATGGCTAACGCTTGAAATTTTTTTGACTGCTCTGTGCTTCTTAGGGATAAGGTTTCAGGGTTTAGGGTAGAAGACGGAGAAGGCGATAACACCGTGACCGACCGAGTGAGAGATACTTATGGGGCAGAAAAGTATAAAATAAACCCTAAAATATCTCCCGCTTGATATTTTTTCTTCGGATTTTTTTTTTTACAAAATACCTAAAATAATGTATATTAACTTTTACCCCTTTATTGCAATATACATTAAAAAACACACAAATAATAGTTTCAAAAAAGAATTCATAGTTATACACATATATAATTCTATATATTTGAACTCAACATCAATTCTCCAATTTGTATTTGATATGAGAGAAAAAAAAAGTTATGACCATACACGAATCGCAACGTAATTCAATAAACATTTGCAGTGTAACAAAAAACTATTTCGTCAACCCTAACCCCCAATCTCTAAAACCCTAAACAGAGTGACAAGTTTTACATAGCTCAAGAACTCTATTCTACATTGCCTCTCCCACCCGAAATCTATCAGCTTCAGGGCGGCGATTGTTTTTCGTCAAAAGGTCTATCCGCCCGGTGGCTTATTCTGATTTCGGTTCGATTTTATTACTAAAAATATTCATTTTCTTTAAAGAATTCTCATGTTAGGGTTTAAGGCTTTGAGTCGGGTCGGGTCCGGTCCATAATCCAGTTTCGGCAAATGGGCTTCTATGGGTTTTTTTTTCCTGAGCATCAAATCACTGTGAAAGCCTTCACCACAGAAATCTGATCTTGATGGGAACTTCAAAGAAAGGGGAAATCAATACGGTTTTTGGATTTTTTTTTTTGTTACGATGGAAAATCCTTATCCTTCAAACTTTGTCTAAAAGCGCTAGTATTTCATCAAGTTTCGAAAGATGCTCCTTATTTAGAGCCTCTGTGTAGTGTGTACGTATAGTGGTAAGACACTATCCTGAATGGTGTGGCATTAGGGTTCTTGTTCTAATGCAATTGTTTTTGTGATCAGAAGAGTGGAGATTGAAGGATCCTTGCTTTCTCGTCGTTTCTCCTTCACGAGCAACACGCTTTTAAGATCTCCTCGATTGGCGGGTCATCTCCGGCTTCTTTGTCCTAACAAATCACATCAAATGATCGGTCTGTTAAGACACACGTCCAATGTTTTTGTTACCGATACGACCCGTCGCCCTTTTAATCGGATTGGTCGAAGAAAAATGCAGTTTTCGGTTGAGGTTCCATTCATATATATATAGAGGTTTTACTTGTGGGAAACGCATTACCTTGTGTATGTACGATATGTTGTGCTTTCCAGGCCCTGCAACTACAATTCCGCCCTGTTGCCTGCACAAGTTCCATCATCATCATAATCTATCATATCCCACGAATTGCAAAGGACGAAACCAGAAACTTCGTTTTCTTTACACGAGTGATTCGGATAAGGAGGTGTTTTGCATTTAATTGATCAAGAAATAAGAATAGTTTAGTCCTACCAGCCGCCTCTAGACACCGTATCTTTCTCAAACGAAAGCTTCCAGTCTTGCCGATATCCTCCCATGTAAGCTTCTATTATCTTCAGACCAGCCTGAAACATGGTTATTCATGCTGCTGAGACCAGATGATATCCTCTGTTGAAACTGACGAGTTACTAGTCCGATAAAAACAAAATCGCACCCTAAACTTTCATGCAGATATCGAGAGAGGTTTACTTTACTTTGGGTGTAAATGTTGTTGAAACCCCGGAAACAAATCTGAGTGCCTCGTAGGATGCGTGGTTCGGATCTGCATATACCTCTGAAAGAAAATTGACTCTAGATTAAAATGCTGACATAAAAGGAGATGCACAATGGAATACATCAAAATTCCAGATTCAATACGTGCAGAAATGCATGGAAAATGTCTTAACAAGCATACCTCCTTTGAATTTAGTCTGCTCAACGAATGTTTTCGCCTGCATTTAGTGATTAATATCGGTTATAGCAACGGGATTCGGCATTGGAACATGCAAAATCCCAGTTTCAAACATACTCGGAAGCAGAGAAGTAGCAGAGAAATTCGAAACATTTCTCAAACTCTGTATGTATGTATGCTACCTGATCGATGCTGCCGGGTCCAATCACAACAAGAGCAGCACCAGATGCATCCATCACGCCCTGAAACAGCTCAGAACCAACATTGTTACATTCACACAACTGATGAAATTTTCACAGTAATGATCCCATCGTTGAACAAACATTACCAGATAATCAAACAGGCCCTCGAATCACCAGAGTTTCGATGTGTTCACCAATCAATTTAAAAGAAACAATCTGTTCTTGATATGTTCGTTTAGATTCTAATGCTCGACATGTAATTACCTTCTTCGCTTCGAGATAAGCAGCTCGTATCCGACAAAGAACACATCTGAAAACATGGTTAGAAAACTAAATCGCAACCAGATTCTTCAAATACCGTAAGACTAATCTGATTAAACGAAGATAAACGCTAAGAAATCCAAAGATTAATCACCCGAAATGACGAGCGAACGCAACAACGGCCTTCCTATCCTTCCATAAATCAGAAATCGGAACCTCATTTCCATTCAAATCAAACACTTTCACTGTATCAAGCAAATCAACAGTGTCTTGCCCAGCCGCCGAGGTCCCAGTTCCTGCAAACACACGAACACAACAACGAATTCCGGAATCTGGAAAAGTTTAGATCACTTCAAAAGCATTTAAGACTGTTCAACTCGCCTGAAGCGCCGGAAACAGCCGACGTGACGACGGCGACTCTCCGCCGGAGATAGACGCCGGGTGTGTTTCTCCAGCGGCGAATACCGGTAGAATCTACAGGAAGTACTGCTGGATGAGCTTTCAGTTTCCTCTGTAACGTAATTGGCGTGATCGTCGCAGAGAGCGAAGTCGCCATTTTTGCTCCAATAGAAATCGAGAGGTTTTTTTTTTTTTTTTTTTTTTTCCCCTAAAACCGGGTCAGCCAATGGATTTAAAAATTCACGCTGGCGATTTTCTAACCGTTGGCTCAATCCGTGGAGGAGAGCATTACACGTGGCTAAAGCACATGCCACGTCAGCCAAACCAAGGGGCAATAATGGCCCAATTCTCAAGTTGGGTTGAAAATTATTAAGCCTACACTTATAAATGGGTCGACATTACTGGGCCCATTTAAGTTGGGCTCAAATACAATGGGCCCATACTTGCTCTTTCTTTTTTTGTGCAAAGGTGCATCGTTTCTCGGCGTCTTCGCGCATTTCAAACCTCGCAAGAGTACCTCTACTGCTTCTACTCTGTACTCGTTGCGCGATTCTCGACAGCCGATGACTACAGTTTCCGGAGAACTCCCCGGCGTCGCCACCGGAGGTTCTGTTTTAGCATCGGAGGCCTCAGGAATGGCGGCGAATTCTGATTCAGACAAGGTAGATGACAAGATGCCGAAAAAAAGCATTATTTCGAAGAGCACTTCTGTTCCTCCTTCGGGTTTGGGCGTCGATGAGTCTGATGTCTCCGACGTACAGAAGAAAATTCGGCGAGCCGAGCGGTTTGGGATGCCGGTGCAGGTCTCCGAGGAGGAGAAGCGCAATTCACGCGCTGAAAGGTGATACCTTCTGATGTTACGGAGCTAGGGTTTCCTTCCCTTTTTTTTTCTTCTTTGATATCAGTTTCTCTCGTTGCTTCTGAGTTCTGACTTTATCTTGCTTCTGCCCTAGTTTCCATTTTTTTTCTTCTTTTTCTTCCGGCGAGATCGTTATTGCTATCAAGTGGTTGCTCCACTATACTCCTGGGAACCGATAATTGGGTTATGCTTTTATTAGATATACGACATATTCATTGTTGGCAATCAGTTCTATGGAGATGTTTGCTGGCTTAGTTTCTTCTCTTCCTCCTCCAGTATTTACAGATGATTGACGTTCCGCGTAGTACTGTCGGGCAGAATCTTAATTCTGAGTGCTGAATTCGTTCAATGATCAAAAACCATTTTGGCATATGACATTGTTCAATAATGGTCTTTGTGTTTCTGCTAGGTGTTTCTAGTGCCTTTCTGTTGTATTTACCATTCCTGTATGTGATAAGTTTGACCTGATAGGGGTTGTAGTATCACTCTTTATAATAACTTTCAGAGGCTTTCTCTTGTTATGCTTGACCATAGATTCGATAAGCACTTGATCTCTTGTGTCCATCGACCTTATTTGATTTGAACCCAATGCAGGTTTGGAACTGCATCTAAATTGCCTTGTTCAGAAGCATCAAAGGCATCGGAGGAATTAAAGAGAAAGGCCAGAGCAGAGAGGTTTCACCTCCATCCCCCTCTGTTTTGGATTTCTTCGATTTCTTTATAACATGCTTTCATGTAATTTATATGAGGTTGCTTGCTTGTTTATGGGTTTCCAATCCCGTTATCCTTCCATAGGCCATCATCACTTTAATCACATGAATCTCAGGTTTGGAATCCCTGTTCCACCAGCACCCTCCGATGATGAGGCAAAGAAGAAAGCTAGACTTGCTAGATTTGGTGGACCTGCAAAAGACGAATCAGTCGAAGAAGACAAAAGAAAAGCAAGAGCAATCAGGTATATTTCACAACTGTCCTGATCTGTGCACACTTATACTGTTGATTGTTAACTCATTCGAGGAACTGCTTGGAAATTTACTGTTTTCCTCCCCACATAATATCTATGGCTTTCCTCCTTTTTTTTATTATCTTCTTTCTTGTCCTCAATCTTCAGGTTTTCAACAACCATATCTGGTCCTCCATCACAAGTGAAAGGAAACGGAAACGGAGACATCAAGCAGGTCATTCTTCTGCTTGTTCATGTCAACCTGTAGTCTGCTATCCCGCATGTTGTGAAAGTTATTAGCTTTCTTTACGACTGAATTGACATTTCTTTTGCCCTTTCTCTGAATTTGAAGGCTGCTGTAACAGGCAAAGCTGCTTGAAGGGGTGAATCGGTGGTATAGATGATCTGCTTTTACGTCACGCCGGGGTAAGTCTCGAGAAGTCTTCTTTATTCATTGGATTTTGGGAGAATTTTTCTTCGTGTGTCAGTTGCAGATTAAGTCTAATTCCTTTCTCCATTGCCTGGTAGAAATGCTAACATTATCATCCCTTGTTCTGACTGGACTCCATCTATTTCCATGCCTAACACTCCATTAAGAATGTTTGGAAGAAAGTCATTTTTCGCGGCTTTATCTTGGGTTCGATTAGTTTGAAATCCCATTTCAACCATCGTAATGGCAGTGTCGTCACATCTCAACATCAGGAACAAAACTCCCTTCTTCATCTACCAAGTCTTTTAGCTTCATGCCCTGGTTTTAGTTTCAAACGTCTTTCATGCCTTAGGCTCAGTTGTGTGCATTCATTCCTCATGAATGTCGGCTTCATGCGTCCTTCATAAAGAAATGAAACGACTAAGATGCAAGAAATTTAAATTTACAGGAACCATTTTGAAAGTACTTGGTGGTGGGTAGTACCTGCTAGGGTGGACGTTTTCGTTACTGTAACCGTATCCAAAAAATGTGGTATTTTTTTTTCCAACAAGAACCATCCAAAATTCTCTGTCGAACCGAATCGAATTTTAGAAAAAACCAAAAAAACGATATTTTTAAAATCTAATATTTTCTTAACAAAAACCGTAACTGAATCACAATCAAAATCGAACCGAATATAAAATAATAGTCGATTTTGTTAAACCGAAAGAATCGGATCTCAAATCGAATATCGAAAACGGCGTAGAGAGAGGTAGTTTTTTTCTTCTTTTTTTTGCATGGCTAAAGCCATATATTTCATTATAGGTTATTTTTTAAAATAAATGCTGAATTCGAACAAAAACAGAGGGAATTGCATCCGTTGAACTCGATCTCAAACATGATCAAGAATCTGATCGGTTTATAACATTGGCTGTTCATATAGTAAATGGTTTGAAAAGGGACACAAGGACACTCTGGGCCCCACGCCATTGCCTTCACTATTTCCAACAAAGAAGAGGTCACACTTTTATTTTTCTCAAATCAAAATATGCAATATTTGCGCTAAATACATTCAAAAAAAGAGAAACACAAAGCGCCTGACCCATCAATCACTCATCATGTCTACGATCACTTAATGTATGAACCATGTGGTCCTTTATCAAATGCCCTCTTTCTCTCTTAAAGTGATCTCTGGACCCTTTTCTCTTGCGTGTCCCAATGCACCAAAGCACCTAGAATCACCTAGAATCACCTGGCCTTGACTCTTCATGACTTGCGGTTGAAGCAACACCAGAGGGTTCACCGGAAGAAAGATCTCCGAGCCCCGAACTTGACTTCTCTTCCATGGAGGACCCATTCACAGTGACTTGATCTGGTTTCGTATCGTCTCCGAGATCGCTATCATCACGAGTTTTCTCCAGATTTGCGAATCGGATCTTGCCTTCTTTGTCTAATTCGTCCTTTGGCACTGAAGTGGCCGCGGATGACGATTCACAAGAAACGTCAGAGGAGCTCCATTGCTCTGATCCATCGGTATTGCGTAACCCTTTTAAAGATTCGAGCATTTTCATCAGGAATCCGAGCCTCTTCTCTGCTCTTT